ATGATCGGATGGGGTAGACGTGTTAGTATGGGGGGAGGGGTTGAACTTCATTGTAGATATTTTGTTGGGGTTGTTGATGTGTATATATTGGACATTGTGAAATGTAGTTGGCGACGTAGTATTTTTCTTGCAACTTTACGTTTGGTCTGAGTGATGGGATGAAATGTTGGTAGTACCACGCGTGTTATTGGGAATAGCTGGTGTTTACTCGGGAATAATCAAAAGGGAAGAACAAACTCGGCTGGACACATTCCAGGAGAACACCTGCATCTCAAAGATGCATAATGAATGATGTCAGTCCCTCACTTTAGCATACCAGCACTTCCTTCTGGAAGCCAACCTAGCAAACCCACACACACACACACACACACACACACACACACCAGGGGTCCAGTCCAATCTAATCCGGCATAACTAGGTTACCTTCGTATTCCCCCGTCCGTAGCGCCCCAAGCCCTGCGCTGTACTCTACACCGATATTATTACCTTTTTTGCCCTGAACAACAATGCCCTCTCTTAGCTAGCACAACTACGTGTACAAACTTGTTGCAATTTTCCCGGCCTCGTTTTTTCGGGCCTATTAGGGCTAAATGCACATTGTTTACTTGCATGTTGCAGACTTGTGTATGCGATTTGGGAGTAGCAAGTAAGGGGAACGATTTAATGCTAGCATTAGTGGTATGCAGGAGATGGAGAGAAAAAAAAATGCCGAGGTGCAAAAGTCGTATGCGTGGGCTAGTATGGGGGCGTTGGGGCGTTAGGGCGTTAGGGGATGAGGTGGAGGATGATGTCAGTGGCTACGCGCGCCCGTTTCGGGGAATAAATCTCAAGTAATTACGTGGACAGGAGAGCAGTGTTTTCTAAACGAGGAAATCAAGGCAAGCGTTGCGATTGCGTGAACAGTGGGATGAGGGAACGGGAGCAAGGTAGCCGGCAAAGACGGGCTTGGCTGGTCTGCAATGACAGGGGTTGGTTGTTGCTGTTGTTGTCCATGGCGAGATCGGCGTAGGGCTGGGGTTTGGGTGTGGATGGCCAGGCACGCACACCACCCGCAGCACAGCATCATGGCACAGCCCGTTTTTTTGCCTCTGCCTCATAGCCGCGCCACGAGCTAGTGTACAGTAGCATCCAGAGCCACAATTTATTCCACATTAGGGTGCGTCATTGTCTTGGGCCGTTGAATCCTTCGGCTGAGGTGAGCTCGGGGTCAGCTTGGTGGTGCTGCTTCTACGAAGAGGAGGACAGGGCCATTGCTGTGTGTGTGTGTGTGGCCTGAATCAAGATGAAGTTGGGGACATGTGACGACATGCTCGTTTCATCATTTGTCCATGGCTGGGAAAGGCTGGATGCATGGCCAAGGCTTGGATGGGGGTTGCCCTAACAACAGTGGATCGGCGGGACGTTGGAATCGCGTTTCCCACTGCAGCAGCCCGGTGTCCAGCAAAAGCCGTGAATAGTTGACGAGTTGGAGAGAAGGGCGGCAGTAGTAATTACTGCTAGTATGGCTATTTTGCTGTTCTGTTACTAGGTGTAGTGAGATGCCAGGGTCCCTTTTCTGACTTTGAGATGGTGCTGACGGGGCGAAAGCTTGGCCCAACGACGTCCTACTATGCTTGGGGCAGGGCAAGTTTCAGCTCGGGAACAAGGCCTTGTGTGCTGGAAATAGCATCTTGCTCTACACAGCAAGTAAGGAGAGGAGGCAGTGTTTTAGCAACAGTAGTAGTCAACGACGCGAGAATGGCATGAGAGCGTTCAAACACTGCCCATCCGACACACACACACACACAGCCCGTCTCCCATGTCCGCGGACCTTGGCTGCAACATGGGACAAGGAAATTAGGAACGTAGTATTGGCCTCTTAGACGACGTCATGAATTGATCGCCCAGCTCACTTGCAACTCGTCCGTCCGTGGGAGCACGAGTAGAGTGGAGACGGGTCCGGTTGATGCTGTCTTCCGACAGGCTGGGGAAGACGAACGAGGCGCGACATGTGGCGTCACCCGCCGCCGCTTTTCCCAATTTTAGCCTTGTGGGAAAAAGTGGACGAGGCGGTGCGTAGTGTCAATGTGCATCACGTAGCCAGGCCAGCACACTGTTTCGATTGATTGACGGCGCTAGTACTACGGCTCGCGGCTGGTATAAGAGGCCCTTCACGTCGCCCAGTCTTGCTTGTACTCTCCATTCCACATCAGATACCCACACTCCAACATCAACACTTGATTCAATTCTCCCTCGACTCAACCGTCAACGACACAAACACCCTCATACACCATCAAGATGCGTTTCTCCTACATTGCCACTGCTCTCTTCGCCGCTGGTGCTGCCAACGCCCAGATTGACAGCGTCATCGCCTCCCTCACCTCTGCTGCCGGCAGCCTTCCCTCCAACGTCGCCTCCGATGTTGAGAGCCTTGCCAGCCGTATCACCTCTGGCGCTGCTGGCCTTCCCTCTGGCGCTGCCTCTGCTGCCTCCAGCATTGGTTCCCAAATCACCTCTGGCGCTGCCGGCCTTCCCTCTGACGCTGCCTCTGCTGCCTCCAGCATCCGCTCAAGTGCCGACGCTGCTGCCTCATCTATCCGCTCCGAGGCTGAGTCTGCTTTGAGTTCCGCCACAGCATCTCTGGGCTCTGCTGCTTCTTCTGCCACCTCATCTGCTGGTTCCCAGTCGACCGGTGCTGCCAACCAGAACGCTCTCCCCGCCATGGGTGCCGCTGCCGCTGGTATCTTCGCCATTGCTGGTCTCCTATAAGTGCCCCTAGATGGGTTCTAAGTCTTCTTGTCGACAAATCATCTTCATCAGCATCATATTTCCCTCCGGTAGCTTCTTCCATCGGCTAGCGATGCCTCAGCCAAGAGCTGACATCGCTTTGTCTCAAACAAACGAGGCATTAGGGATAAGAATGGGTTCATGGCGAAACTGGGGTATAACCAGACGGTCTATATTATAATATTAAGTCATTTCAATGGAAATATTCAAAGCTCATTTCCCTCTCTTGACCATGCTTGTTTCTAATCGTGTGTTGTATGCTCTCCCTCCTCTTACTTACTTACCTCGGTGCATCAAGCTGCATGAAGAGAAATTGGTCTGTCGCATGTCGCAATTGTCCAGCGCATACCAATGTTTGTGCATTCACCTGTTCAGTCTTCAGCTCCTTGTCATGCATGATGTGAGGTCTGCAGCCAGCCTATGACGTAACGCCGCGCGTCCATTGTCGGGCGTTTCAGCCGCGACAGACGGCTTCAATAATGCACCTCCCCGCTAGCGTCATCCTACCATGCACTCCGCATTCACCCACATTCTCACACCCACTCACACCCACTCACGCTCCTTTTGCCCTCTCTTGGGTCAGCAATCCTTTCGCTCATGCTTACGCCATCCCCCCTTGATTGGCCCATTGCCACAACGGCCTCTTGAGTCGTCTAACTTGGCCCATCTGCCAGTACCTTGGTCTCTAGGCGGACGCTGCATCACCATCCATGCGCTGCAATAAGGGGGGTGAGCTGCTGAGCGACATATGGTCAGTTCGATGCAATGCAATAACTGGCGTTGTACTACGGCCGCACGGGGGTTGCAGCTCAACAATTATGACCTTTTTTTTCAAGCTGCGCCCCTCGTGGATAACAGCGACGATCTCATGAACATCCAATAAAACAGACTAAACAACATGTTTCCATGTTCGCGAACAATTATATGTCTAGGCTTCCTGGTCATCATGCATGGAAATATCCCGAGGCTGGGCTTTTGTTGGCCTATGATGCAAGGTAACGACATTGTCTGCCCACAATACAACTGCCCACGAACTACTACAAATAGAAGATCCAGTTAGAAATTTTTCCTCGACACACCTGCACCGTTGTTTTTTCTCTTAGTAAAACAATTCGCTGATCTTTCACGTGCACGCATTGCTTCCCGAGATCGCCAGCATCGTTGCCTGCCGATCACCAAAGATTATTTTAGACACTCGCTGCACGACATGGTCCGCTCCGACATGGCACCCATGTCCAATTGCTCGACATCTCACCATCACGCCTCAGTCAAGCGTGGCCTCTACGCGTCTGAGACTCATGTATATTTTACCATGCATAGGGCTACTCTGATCACCGTGATAGTAGTGACAGGTGTAGCAGTCATAGCCCTCCTTGTCGTTATCGTTGTCCGCGAGCGCCGTAGCAGGCAGCGTGCAATTCAGCAAACCAAGGACATTGAGGTTAATACTGCTGCTTTTTCCAAGGTTATCAACAACGAACCCTTTAACAAGCAGATGACACCGCCTCCCGCACCTAGCTCGCCGTACATGGGTGATAGGTTCCCTGATGGCGGAATAGGTAACTATCAACCGGCTCGTGTGTCGTCTGAGAAGTCCTTTTATGAAGGAAAGTATGGACATCATAACGAGCATCAATTTCACGAGGTTGATTTAGGTGAGGTGAGGTGCCTGGGCGAAGACAAGATGGGTAAGTTGTGAGGTGTCTGGTAGTGTGTCTTGCTTAGAACACTGCTGAGACTCTCACGTTAAATATTTGCGTCGGTAAGTAATCGGGAGCTTGAAAGTATGTGCACATAGTTGATTTAGTCTATTATCTGAAAGGTAATGTAAAGATTGTTTCTGAATACCTGGTTCAAAGTGCTGTCAAGTAATCGGTAAGTTGAAAGAATGAGAAGATAGTCGATTTAGTGGTTTCCCTTTAGAAGGTAATGTAAAGAAGGCTTCCGAATGTTTGGTTCGAAGTCCTGTTAAATGTCATTTAGATGCCCTGAGATCATCCTGAATGAACATTCCCATTACCTACTTCAACAGATGTTCTAGCGCCATTCATGTTCGCTGGCGCCTATCAAAGAGCATTGGCAGCTGGACTTGCACCATCAATGCGTTGTGGTGGTTACACAAACCTTAGCGCCAATGCGCCGCAGCGCAGCAACCCCGCAACTCACAACACTAGGCTGACCCAGCTTTCTTCACACCACTCTTTCATTCTTCATTGCCCGGCCCTCTTCTTAGAATGAGGGTTCCAACCATTCTGCTCGCATTGCTAGCGACCGCTAGGGCCGAGGATGTGCTTCAAGGTGATGATTCCCCCAGTCCTCGTTTGCTCCCGGCGCTAAGCAAGGCTACAGACATATCTCTCCATCCTACCGAGCTTGTGTTGGATGAAGAGCCCCCATTATTCATACCACTGGATGCTCAACATGACTGGGTCTACCCCGAGACTTTACCACCCATGCCTCAGTGCATCGCTGAGCAGGACCAGGCAGCATGGTTGAATGCCATGACAAGATGCACAAGGAAGCAATGCATGCGGCACTTTGGAGTAATCTGTACCCGCCACCAATGGCGCACTCAGCTTAGCTGTCTCAACACCGAGATTTCCCCTCAACTTCTTGAACAGTACATCGATTCCTGTAGCCGTTCGGTTCTGAAAAAGGCACAACTGTACCAGTGGATCCGCGCAACGACGGATCGTACATGGCTTATTGAGGTCGGCGATGCCAATGGATTACAGTGGCTCTCTCCAGCCTCGCTGACCAAAGGATATGCGGCTGTTCGTATCATAGACAAAGCGCCGGCATGTCTGACCGAATCGGTATCCGCTTCGTCAATGGAGTCGTTTAGACAAGTCATGGCATCCTGTGGCTTCGAGGCTACTACTAGACATACGGGCAATGTTAAACGTCCATGGGAGTATCATGAACGTGAGCATTCAATGGTCGCTCTAGATACTGAAGTTGCCGGGTACGACCTAACACATGCCACTATCCCGGACAATCTTTATTTCGACAAGCAGTGTTTCTGCAAGGCATTTGATGCAAGACTTGCAGAAGGCGATTGTGCAGGGCCTGGAGTAGACTTAACGAGGCAACGGTTATGGATGCATGCTACTTGCGGACCTGCGTCGCTTCCCCCCAACTGGAGGCAGGGACTCAAAACCACTCCTTACGATTACATTCCTGCGGAAAGGTGGAAGTGGCCCCAGTGCTTCGATTCCATGCCAGATAACGTGATGCGGCTCAAGGGCCAATGCACGACTAATGCTTGTAGAATCGGCTTCGACGGCTACTGCTATGTTCAGCGTGCAGTGGAGAGATCATGTTTCTGCCGTAACATCAGCTACGACACATGCAAAGGATCCTGCCACGACTTCGACAACCGGATCGACTATGTACACTGGCTCCACGATTTATGCGGCGCTGAAGAAAACTGGCATGGTTTACCAGAGGACTGGTATCGAATGCCTCGGGTCACTCGTCGCGAGGCGATTCCATGGACATGGTACAAAGACTCATTCAGTCGTTCAAACAACAGCCCAGGCGAAACCAACCCATCAGCCCCCGAACAAGCATGTGCCTCCATCGAATGGAAACAAATGAGCCTCCTCCTCATCAACCTCGCCGCCGTCTTCCCCGCCATCTTCACCTCATCCTCCAACGCACCCACAACCCCCCTATCCAGCCTCCTCTGGCTCCCCCGCGGCATTGCCGTAGCAGCATTTTACCTCCTTGCCAACGCCATCAACGCCATGCTCATCCAATCAACCCCTTCTTACGGCGAAACTCCCATGGTCGAACTCGCCCTCCTCTGGTGCACCCTCCCACGCCTAACCTGGCTCCCCGTCCTCCTCGCCCTCTCCACCGGCTCCACCTCCGCCGTGCTAACTAGCCTCGTCTCCGAAACCCTTTTGCAACTTCTCTCTCTACCCACTATGCTATCAACAGTGTCCTACGGCTTCGAACACGATTTCTATAATTCGGCTTCACCGCCGTTACTCAACTTGCCGGCCGCAACGTACATGTACACTGGAGCCCGAATGTGGGTCATTGCAGGAATTCTGTCTTTAGTCGCCTTCTTAGTCGTCCTTGTCAGCATGAGCATGCCAGCAGGTGGGGCTGGTCGCTGGAGCGACACACGAACGACCCACTCCAGATACCAGGGGCGTGATTCGGAACATACGCCGTTGGTGCAGAACAAGGGGTATGGACATAGGGGGTATGGGACGGGGTCGACGCAGAGTCCAAGAGGATACGGGATGAAGTGGAGTATGATTTGGGCCACGCTGGTCGTACTCTTTTGTATGCTTTTGCTGTGGATTGCACAGTGGGTGTTTTGGATTGGATTCGTGGGCATTTCGGATGAGGAGTAAGTCACTTTTTCTCTTTTATCGAGTTGTTCGTTATGGTTGCTTCCTGAGGTTTCTATTCGGATTGAACTGACAGTATACAGGTTTTGTACACCACAACTTGGATTCTCGACTTTGACATGGATTGCTTCTTCCATTGCTGCGGCTTTTGGTATTGTAAAGGCATGAGTAAGAACTGAATTTGGAAATGACTGCCCATGATATTGTTTTTGAGATAAATTGCCTTGAGAGTAGTAGTCCAGATAAATAAATTCGTAACGAAATCAATGCTATACAATTCTAAGACAACAAACCAAGAAAATAACCATCACTCATCACCTCCCCTTCTACGCATCCTCAGGCCCCATATCAAACAGCAAAAACTCCGCCTCCTTATCCCCCACACTCTCAATCTCAATCTTGCCTGGTCCCTTGGCCCCATCAATATACGCGCCATCCCCTTCTCCCAAAATCGTCTCTCCAATCTTAATCTGCGCACCCCCAGTTTTCGGCTGTGTCCGTCCACCCATAACAACATGGGCAAACAGCTTCCTGGGGCCCTCCGCCACAATCTCATGCACGACCTTCTTTCCCGGCGCCAAAATCGACGCATCCATACTCAAATCCGCCTGCAGACCAATCGCGCCCTCACTCTTGCTCAATCTATCCGTATACTCCATAATTCGTACAAGCCTATCCTTCTTCTCCTCATCGCTAAACTTCTTGGTTTCGTAATGCGGCTTGAGACCCCTCTTATTTGGTTTGGCCCAGATCTGCAAAAAGTGGACTTCAGAGTCGCGGTTGCGGTTGTACTCTGAGTGGCGGATTCCGGTTCCCGCGCTGGTGAATTGGACTTCGCCGCGTTGTAGGTTTTCGAGGTTGCCCATGCTGTCTTTGTGCTCGAGGGTGCCGGAGACGATGTAGCTGAAGATGAGGAATTCGGCGTGGCTGTGTGTTCCTTTTCTTTTGTATTAGTAACTTTTCTATACATGTGGGGTTTTTTTGGGGAGGGTGTTCGAAGGAAGGAAAAAACGTACCGAAACCAGTTCCAGCTTCGACTCTGTCTTCGTTGATGACGCGGAGAGGTCCCCAGCTCTCGTGTCGCTGGTCGTAGTACGAGGCAAAGGAGAAAGTGTGGTATGTGTAGAGCCAGCCGTGGTCGGCGTGACCGCGTTGAGACCAGGGTCGCTTTGTGATTTTCAGGGAGGCAGGAGTTGCGGTTGACATTGTGCGGAGAGTAGGTTTTGAGAGGAGAGAAGAAAAAGAAGAGCGGAAGGCGGTTGAGAGAGCCAGCGTGAGTGCTAGTAAGCCTACGAGGACTGTAATTACTTTTGTGGTGGTTGAGTATGAGGTATCAGGTGTAGATGAAGCACGATGTTGGCTGGATGCTTTTGATGTTGAAGTTGTGTCTGTCATCACGAAAAGGAGATTTCAGCTCATGCGACGACTCTGCTTGTTTTTATATTCTCGGCTGGTAAGCCCAGATTTTAGTTGCTGCATCATGGCGATGCTGCGCTTTCTTTCTGCTTGTTACATAGGCATTTCCAATTAGTGACTAAGATCCAGTAAGGTGGACTAGCGGAGGACCGCATGTGGGGACGGAAAAGAGCCGCTTGGCTGATTAGTGATGGATGACGAGATGGCCGCCACTTATTGATCAGCGACACGTCATTGGCTGCTTGCCGAAGAGCGCAGAACAAGAACGCCCAGTGTCTAACGCTAAGAGAGGGTAACGAGTTTTTGTGTATTATCTACAACCGAATTGAGTAGTCCAAAGAGTTTGAGAAAGAGCTTGGAGAATAGAGAGTGTGTTTTACGGGTTAATCGGTGGGGCGAAGAACGCAATCATCATCTAGTCACGTGCCGTCGACAACCACAATGGCACTGGAGAACTTCAACCCCGATACTTTCCTGGATGAATGGTCAGAAGAAAAGTACTCGCCATTACACACTGAAAAGTCTCTAGCAAGATGTATGGGAGAAGCCTTCGACATCCCGCCTACAGACAGCTATGTTTATCGGGCGCATGCACAGACAACGCTACACGCCACGCAGCGAGCCATTGACGCAAAGAGAGAACATGGGCTACACGGATGGTATCAAGATGAAGAAGGTCAACCTGTATGTATCTAACCTCTATCAAACACCCAAACACCTACCAACCAAACCTTTCATCTGCCCTTCTCCAACATACCATCCCCATACTAACACCCCCCCCCCCAGACCTATCCCACCCCCGACGAAATAACCACCTACACATCCCTCTTCTCTCCCAGCACCTCGCTCCCCAAATCCCTAAACTCCCTCCTCAAAAGCTCAAAAGCAAATTCCCTCCGTCAAAAAATAGCCACACACCTAACCTCCCGCTACCTCAACACAACGCCCCCAAACTCCAGCCTCCTACCCAGCAAAAAGGACCGAGAGCACAAAAACCCCTACCTAGACCTGTGGAACTACTCGTGCAGCGAGCTCGAATGGGCGGGCCCCGTCCCCGAAACAGCGGGCACGAAAATAAGCCACCACATCCTGCCCCTCTTCTACCACCACTTCGGCTGCGTCGTCCCCTCCTACGCCGCCTTGCACGTCCTCGCCAAACTCGCACAACCCGCACGCCCAAGTAAAGAAGACGTGCGCCCGATCCTCGACATAGGATCTGGAAACGGGTACTGGACGTATATGCTTCGCCATTTCCCCGTAGCGCATATCGGGGCGACGAAGGAGCTCGATGTGCGGGCTGTGGATAGCCAGGTGAGCGAGTACAGGGTCATGTGGATCAAGGATACGATTAAGATGGATGGAAGGCAGTATTTGATGAGGAATGGTGGGGGGAAAGGGTGTGTGCTGTTGCTTGTGTATCCGCAGGCGACGGGGGATTTTACGGGGCCGATGATGAAGGCGTTTGAGGGGGATACGATTGTTGTTGCGGGGACGCAGAATGGGAATGGGTTTACAGGGTTTAGGGATGTGGTGGTGGATGAGTGGGTGGAGAAGAATTTGAATCAGTTTGAGCTTGTGCTGAGGATGCCACTGCCGAGTTTTGCGGGCAAGGACGAGGCGCTATTTGTGTTTCAGAGGAAGAAGTCGGGTTGAAGGGGATGATGGGTCAAACATCACAGTATGCAGACGATAAGAGCTGGGTCATGTAGTATATAATAACTACCCCATGTCAGCATGATAATCATGTAACATAGCACGTCAATGGCGCTGGCCAATCTTCATTTAAATCATTCAGTTTTTGTCGTGTTCACATATATGTGACGGCTATGCGTCTACCACTTGGCCTCCTTCCTGGCGAGGAACTCGTTCAGGACGGCAACATCCTTCTCCAGCGCAGTCAGCCACTTCTCCAGCTCAGCCTGAACCTTGGTCTCGTCGTCTCCCAGCTTCTTGTAAAAGTCGGCACGGTATGGAGTAGCGCTCATGGCGGCGCTGAAAATGGGCTTGACGACGAACGAGTGGTGGGGCTTGAGGGTGTTTCCGTAGGCGTCACGGAAGGATTGGGCAAGCTCGACGGATGAGTTGGTGATGTTGTGGCGGAGAGCTTGGGCAGTAAAGTCCAGGCCACTGGAAAGGTCGTTAGCACAGGGTCATTGGAGCTGGTAGAGAGTGCATACCGGTTCAGCCATACAAGGCCTTCAGTGGCAGTGTGCTTCTTCTCCTTGAGCTCGTTGAGAACAAGATCCTGGAGGGTCTCGGAGAGTGTTGGTGCAGCGGCCTGTCTGTCTTGGATTTTCTGTCCTGTGTTGGTATGTGTACAAGTGTTGAGTTGGTTTCTCTTGGTGCGCACCTTGATGTTGCCAGCCATGTCACTCTTGACGGGCTTGAAGGCTACTCCGCCCAAGACATCGAAAAGAGTAGTCAAGCTCTCGGCAGCCTGGAGAAAGTCGGTCGTTTTGATAGCCTTGTCATTGGACTCGTCAATGTCGACATCGACGAAGCTCTTGTTGAGCGTATCGAAGAAGGTTCCGCCTGGGGGGATTGCAACTGCCATTGTGGAGTATGTATGTAATGCAGGAAGGGATGAGGAAAAAGCAAGATAAAGCTGGGCAACAGAGGAGCAGACGGAGCTTTTGATGTCGGCCAGGTGGTCTGGCTAGAGCGGTGAGCTATGGGTGGATGCAGTGGGCGTGGCGTGGCGAGTTAGCGCGGGGAACGCGCAATACAGGGTCTCGCCGAGGGGAAGCTATCCGCACCCGCTAACAGTTGACTACTACAGTGGTTGCATACACCAACACGCCCCAGGCTGCCACTACAGTACAGTTCGGGACCGGAAAGGTAATAGCTGAGTCTCTCTCCCATCACCTGTATTGCTCAAGCACAAAGAATGTCTGCCTGGAGAATAAGAGAAATCATTGTCGACATATATATGTACTAGCCCCTCTCATGGCCTGGTGATACGAGTCTAGCATCATCTGTCCCTCTCCCGCTCATGCCGGGCTGAACGTCCAATAACATCAACCATGGTCTCGTACATCCATGCCGCAGCCGTTATATACCGCATTGCCTGCATTCCTGGCGACGGCATCGGCCCCGAGGTCCTAGAAGCTGGTGTCCGTGTGCTCAACACGCTATCCTCTACCCTTGGAACCTTTGAATTCCACTTTACTACTTTTGACTGGGGCGCCACACGTCTGCTCAACGAGGGCGAATGTATGCCCTCGAATGGACCCGACGAGCTCAAATACTACGACGCCATCTACTTTGGCGCTGTAGGCGGGGACGGCGTCCCGGATGAGATTATACTGGCTTCTTTGATCCAGCCCATACGCAAGTCGCTAAATCATCATGTCAACGTGCGGCCTAAGCGGATTCTCCCGGGCATCACCTCTCCACTGGTAGGTTGCACACCTATCGACCTTGACTGGATCATCATCCGTGAGAATAGCGAAGGCGACTACTCAACCCAGGGCGGTGTAATTCACGAAAATGGCCCACACGCAGTAGCTACCGAAGTGAGCATCTTCACCAGAGCCGGCACCGAGCGGGTCATGAGATATGCATTTGAGATAGCCAGGTCGCGACCACGGAAGAGATTGACCATGGTGGCCAAGATGAATGTCCACAATCATGGCATGGCGCTCTGGGACAAAGTTTTTGACGAGGTTGCAAAAGAGTATGAGGACGTGCGGGCTGACACCATGCTCGTCGAACATATGCCGACCCACATGACTCTGCATCCCTCGTCCTTCGACACAATCGTTGCTACCACTCTGCATGCAGATATCCTGTCGAATCTTGCAGACGCACTCAGCGGATCAAATGGCATAACTACTTCGTGTAGCCTTGACCCTTCGCGTAAGAACCCAAGCTTATTTGCGCCGAATCACGGTTATGAACCTGGCAATGCTAGAAGCGGCGTCGCCAACCCCATTGGAGCGTTTTGGAGTGCTGCTGAGATGGTGCGATGGGTTGGTGAGGACAAGGCAGCCAATATACTGATCAAGGCCATCGAAAACGTCACTGGACGTGGTATAAAGACCAGAAACCTTTGTGGGAATGACACTACCGAAAGCGTGACTGCTGCTGTATGCGACGAAGTCGAGAGGCTCCTGAAAGCATGAGTAACGCGAAGGAAGTGGTCCATAATACATACCTAGAACCATATACCGAACATTTCGTTCATCCCAAGCCTGATACCCCCGAACATGCAACTCCTCTTACCACTCACTCCAAGAACACCGCAGGAATCTCACTCCGTCCCTCCACAACCCGACTCCTCATCCCTCTTTCCCCCTTCTTCCTCTCGTCCCCCACATCCAACAGTCCAAACCAGTCCCTCCACACCTTAACCGCCTTCCCCTGAATCAACCCTTTGCTAATCGGCCCAAAATCATTACTATCAAGACTCTTCCGCCAATTATCCCCTTCAATCCACACATGCCCATACGGCACCACCACCTTCCCCAGCTCCCGCTGCTGCTCTTCAGGGACAACAGAATCAGGGTCGTAATCTGCAAGTCCATCCGGCGACCCTTGCACTCTGTCCGCATGCGCCGCGGGATCGAAAGCGTAGCCGCGAACGGGATATACAGTGTCGCCTTCAATCGCCACTACGCGTTTAATACCCATTTCAGAGGGCTTATGGGGTTTCCAGAACGTCACTACGTCGCCGCGCTTAACGCCCCATTCGTTGTTGTCGTTTTGCTCGCTCTTTGCTCCGCGTCTGGAGCGCTCGAGGTATGGGCGCACGAGGACGTAGTCTTCCCGGCCTGTCTCGTGCACGTCGG